GTGAGTGAGTGAGTGAGTGAGTGAGTGAGTGAGTGAGTGAGTGAAGGAAGGAGGGAAGGACCTGGAGTGAGTGAGTGAGTGAGTGAGTGAGTGAGTGAGTGAGTGAGTGAGTGAGTGAGTGAGTGAGTGAGTGAGTGAGTGAGTGAGTGAGTGAGTGAGTGAGTGAGTGAGGGAGGGAGGGAGGGAGGTAAGTAAGTAAGTAATAACCTAACCTCTGGCGTTGTTCCCACAGCTTTCAAATCTGCTGCCATCACCCCCATCATCAAGAAACCAGGTCTTGACTTTACCAACTTCAGTAATCTTCGTCCAATCTCTAATCTGCCCTTTATTTCCAAAGTTCTTGAAAAAGCCGTTGCTAGTCAACTTCACTCTCACCTATCCAACAATAACATTTATGAAGAGCTTCAATCTGGTTTTCGCCCCCACCATAGCACCGAAACAGCTCTAATAAAAATAACTGACCTTCTTCTTGCTGCTGACCCTGCTCTTCTGTCTATCCTCATTTTACTGGATCTAAGTTCTGCCTTGGACACAATCTGTCATTCTATCCTCCTCAACAGACTAACCTCCATTGGCATCTCAGGTACTCTGTTAGACTGGTTCAAATCATATCTCTCTGACCGCACTCAATTCATTCAGCTCAAATCCTTTCGTTCCCAGTCTTCCCCCGTCTCCACGGGTGTCCCCCAAGGCTCTGTCCTCGGACCCCTCCTCTTCATCATTTACCTCCTTCCTCTAGGTCACGTCTTCCGTAAATTTGGTGTCCATTTTCACCGTTATGCTGATGACACACAGCTCTACCTGTCAACAAAACCAAACTCCACCCACCCACCCTCCATCCTCACCGACTGTCTCAATGAGCTAAATCACTGGTTTTCTAACAATTTTCTACAACTAAACAGTAACAAAACAGAAATCATTCTTGTCGGTACCAAAAACTCTCTTTCAAAATCAGAAAATCTTCTCATCCCCCTTAACAACTCTCTGCTATCCCCCTCGCCTCAGGTCAAGAGTCTTGGTGTCATCCTCGACACCACTCTCTCCTTCACTTCACACATCAACAATGTCACTCGGTCTGCCTATTTCCATCTCAGAAATATTAACCGTCTCCGCCCTTCTCTCACACCCCGCTCCACAGCCATCCTTGTTCAGTCTTGTGACTTCTCGGATTGACTACTGCAACTCCCTTCTTTATGGCCTCCCCAACAAATCTCTCCAGAAGCTGCAATTGGTCCAGAACTCAGCTGCCCGTGTCATCACTCAAACCTCCTCCTATAACTACATCACTCCAGTCCTGCAGCAGCTCCACTGGCTCCTGGTTAAATCACGCATCGTCTTCAAAATTCTTCTTCTCACTTTCAAAGCTATCCACAACCTTGCCCCTCCGTACCTATCTGACCTCCTACACATCTCCATCCCCTCTCGCTCTCTCAGATCCTCCTCTTCACTACACCTCCATGTACCCTCTGCCCGCCTCTCCACCATGGGGAGCCTTCACCTGCTCTGCCCCTCATCTCTGGAACACTCTACCCCCTGACTTAACACCATCTCTCTTTCTCTATTCAAGACTGCTCTGAAAACACATCTCTTTAGACTCGCTTATCCTTAACTTTGCTGTATGTATTTTATATTCTTTATGCATTTTATATTCTTTATGTATTTTATATTCTTTATGTAATTTATTCCTGTTGATCTTTGTTCTTACTGTAAAGTGTCCTTGGGTGTCATGAAAGGCGCTTTTAAATAAAATGATTATTATTATTATTATTATTATCAAGTCCTGAAGGAAGGAAGGAATGAAGTCTAGAAGGAAGGAAGGAAGGAATGAAGTCCAGAAGGAAGGAAGGTGTCCCTAGGCTTAAGTGAGAAAGCAGCAACTTTTAATAGCATAATCTAAGGGGCCGTTTACACGGCGCGTATTTTGAGTGCATCCGCAGCTTTCTCTCTGTGGTTCTGCTGATCATTTACACGACACCAGTGGCCCTCCACCAGTGGCCCTTTGAATCCGGAGGTTTCTGAACCCACCTTCCAGAGTGGAGATTTTTCACTGACCCCCCACTGATAATGTAAACATCTCCCGCTGAGGCTTTGTGTTAAACCACATGCGCACGCGCGGACAGACACTATATTTCTATCAACGTGGCAGCGGACAGTGCTTTCAGAACTATGACTGATGGAATATATTTTTAATCTCGTAGTTAATCTACGTCAGATTCCAGGTGCTGTGACTGACATCTGTGTTGGAAGAGACACGATCTGATCCAGTTCTAATATCGCTGTTTATAGAACAAGGCACGCGCACACGTTGCGTTGCACTATAACATACTAAATGTGCTAAATAATAAGTTTAATAATAATAAACAGTATTTATGTTAGTGTGCAAGATATAATGAAGCTATCTGGACATTATGTAATTCAAATTTAAAATGATGCTAAACATATAGCGTGAACACTAAAGTTGAAAATGAAAACATCAGGTTTAATTTTTATTTATTTATTCAACACCACAAACTGTATGTCACACAAACACTGATAATTAAACTGACCACACTATTAAAAACAAGTTAACTGTAAACTACATTAATGAATGTGAAGGTACAAAATTCACAGCGCCATCTAATGACCTGGCATGGTAACTACAGCGGATTCGGGGGGGCGGGGGGATTCCTCTGGATGCATGTAAACACAAAATCTGACCGTGTCAACGCGGATCTTTTCCTCTAATTAACATATGAAAACACCTACGTTTGCCTCCATCGTGTCCGTGTAAATAGGGCCTAAGGCAGTACTTCCCAAAGTGGAGTACTCGTACCCCTGGAGGTACACAAGAGGGACGTAGGGGGTACATGAGAAAATATGAAAAAAGTGTAAATGGTAAATGGACTGTACTTATATAGCGCCTTTCTATCTTTATTGAGATACAAAGCGCTTTACACTACAATCTGTGTCCTCATTTACCCATTCATACAGCACTCTACTAGATCTCTACAAAGCTAATTGAACAAATCATTCTAAAGAAACTAATCAGAGCTTTATCACATTCATACACTAATGGGACACACATCAGAGGCAATGAGGGGTTCAGTGTCTTGCCCAGGGACACTTGGGCTGCTGTGGGGTTCGAACCCCCAACTCTTGCATTGGAGGACGACTGCTCTAACCATTCAGCCACAGCCGCCCCTGAAGAACCAGACTACACTCGCACATACCAGGAAATAGACTGAGGCGCCTTCTCACATAACCAAATAATACATCTGTAAATGCTGCCATCTATTCCAACATTTTTCAGTCAGGTCATCTGGACCACCACCACTTCCTTGACTGATGAAGTCTTCCGGATCGAAGGCGAAACGTTTCAGCACAAAAAAAAAAAAAAAACTGTCCAGATGACCTGACTGAAAAATGTTGGATTGTATACATGGATTATTGAGCATGGACTTTGTTGCTGCCATCTAGTGTTCAGCTAAATCATTGCACCGACAAAGTAGAAGGGTGTGACTCGCTGAAGGAACACCTGTTAATCAAAGCAGCCGTCACTCAACTTCTTGTCAGGGCTGCGAAAACATCAGAAGCCATTGCCAGATTTCTGGATCAGCCTGCACACAGAATGTTGATGCCCTTTTCTACAACGTACTTGTGTGAAAGTGCATCCTGACAAATAAGAAAACAAAATACAGAGCAAGACTTTGTGTTGCGAACGATTTCAAACTCAGACTGTCTCATATTAAACCAAACACAACAGAGTTGTGTGCATCCTTCCAAGCACACCCTTCTCATTATAACTGTGGTGAGTTTAATTAACACAGTATGTTCAATAACTGTTAGTTATCACTCCTACACAGGCTAAATGTTTGGATAATTCAGCCTATAAATGTGTTGCTTATTAATGCTGACATTTATTAATAAATAATATTTGGTGGAAAAAATTAACAGTTGTTTAAAAATGTATTTGATATGTACAGTGTTTACAAACACATTTTAAATGGAGGGTACTTGGCTAGAGGTCAGATGTCTCAAGGGGCACACATCTGAACAGTTTGGGAACCACCAAGGGATGGCATCATTGCCCCCAACTGAACTGGTCAAAAATTTAAACGAGGCTATGAAACTATTAAAAGAGAAGCTAAAGTTAAATAAAGTTGATATTTTTAGCTGCTTCAGTTTCTTACAGAAGAACCAAAATAAATACCTCTGATCTTGGTCCCAGAAGAATCGGTTCTCTGCACTCCACCAGCCAGAACCATGGCCACAGCCAATTTAACCACATACATGCCAAAAACCTGCGGGCACAGACTCAACAAAATCTGGTTTCTACCTACAGGAACAAAGAGCAAAACAAAGGTTATTAAAATTAAATTAAATTAAAAATAAATAAAAAAACACGTAAAAAGGCAGTGTTTTTTTTAAATCCATACCACTTAAAGGGTCAGCCTTGTAGCTTTCCCAGAACTCCTCAAATTCTTTCTGAACATCTTTAACAAAGAGAGAAGCTGCAGCCTGCTGGTTGTTTACTTCAATGTAGTTTGCTTTAAGGACAAGCTCCACATCGCAGCGGACACCATCGGAAAAGGGCTTCCAGCGGAGACATACAACCCCATACACCGTTACATCATCTCCTGAAAAATGAGAGAAGAATGAAGCTGAAGTGTACCTTCTACTGAAACATCCAACACTGGTTACACCGCAAAGAACCACAGAAAACTGAACACTGAAGATTTGATCTTGGACTGGGTCTTTTTAAAAGTCTCAGCCTGGTAACAGCTGACTGAAGGAGCTGTTAGCATCTTTTTTAAGACTATCTTGTCAAACGTCACTGAAGGTTCTTACCAGACTTACAACTGTCAACCAGGTCATCCTCCAGAACCACCACTAAAGAGCGAGGAATACTGCCCACAGACAGCCTCTGCACCTACGTTAATGGAGGAAAATGTATTAACCTCATCAGAATAAACAAAACTATTTCTGAAAAAGATTTTTACTTAAAGATTATGACACACTTGCTCTTGTATCTTGATCTCCTGATAGTCCCTGCAGGAAGCCGGTTCTGACCCTCCAGACAGACTACTGAATTTAAAGGAGTTACAACCAGCAGGGTTGGGGCAGCCCACCGGAGGGACAAAGGCGTAGAACTGGTCAAAATCAGCCTGCAGCTTAAACACGTGCTTACACTTTATGCACATGTAGTCACGCTCATACTCCAGAACCTACGAGCAGAGAAAAACACTTCATCAGTCAACTCACAAGGACAGGCCAACACTTGGATATGACCATACATTGATTTCCAAGAAAAATGGAACATTGTTCAAACATAAATACCCAGTTTATCTGGGCAGACAAGCTGAAGACCACGCAGCACAAATAAAGACGAAGGACTGCAGGTCTTGCTTTAATCTCACTGAGTTGTAACTCACTCACTCACTCCCTCTCTGTAACTGTTGATGACTAACAAGAAACGACATTCAAGAAAATTGTAATAGGTCAGTTTTTATTTGTAGTCTCACTGAATACTGAGAAATGAAGCCTGAGTGATCAGAAACAGGACAGCACTCATGTGAGGTATCCATACAGACATTTTAGAGATTCTCTTGTGACTGTCCTTCACGATTTGTCACCAACAGTCACAGCTCGGTGAGATACTGACTTTAGAGAGAAGAACTGCAACAGGAGCTCAGACCATGACCTGGAAGCTGTGAGTTCATCTATTAGAGAGCTCATCTGTACATTTCCTGCCTCAACACCTGCAGATCATGTGAGTGACTTCACAAGACAACTTGTTCTTTTCAGTTCTTTCACCTCCTGGTAAAAAAAAAGACCTTCTCATCTCCAGAAGCACAGCTCATGACAGTCACAAGAACAAGAAGGAACTCTAAGTTATATGTCGAACAAGGTTGAGTCAGGTACTCTGGACGGATTCTTCTTGTTGAAATGTTTCGTCTTTTATCCAAAAGACTTCTTCAGTCTGAGAAGCAGCAACAAACTCAGTCTATAAATAGCACCTTCTCATAGTGGATCAACCAGTTTGTTGCCGACTGCCAGAACTACCTGTTCACATGATCAAGGAGGACCATCAGCCTAACAATGGATCATTAGCACCCTGATGACTGTTTACTATTCACAGAGGGCTGAGTGATACTAGCAATCACAGCATTGTAAGAGGGGGACAGTTGAACCCGGAGGCCTCCACCCCTGTTTAATGATGGACGGTTTCTTTTCACAAAGATGGCCTCCTTTACTCCTCTCTCAAACCATCGTTCCTCGCTATCCAGGATGTAAATGGACTGTACTTATATTGTGCCTTTCTATCTTGTTTCAAGATACTCAAAGCGCTTTACACTACAATCTGTGTCCTCATTTACCCATTCATACAGCACTCTACAAGATTTCTACAAAACTAATTAAACAAATCATTCTAATGAGACTAATCAGTGATGTGAACATCTTCATCCCTGAAAGAGTGACCGCTGGCCTGGAGATGTGTGTAGACCGCAGAGTCCTGGCCTGATGGTGTTGATCTTCTGTACTGACTGTTTAGTTTCCTCGATGATCACCCTCCTGACACTGAACAGCATACACAATATTACTCTGTTTGTCCTGGGGGACTAGATCTTTGGGATGGACCAGTCTTTGATGATCTATGATCTATTTTGTGGTTTAAAAGCCACTGGGACATTGCACACGCTCCCTCAGAACTTGTGACGTCTGTCGTTGTGCTGTGTGATAAAACTGCACATTTTAGAGTGGCCTTTTATTGTGGTCAGCTTAAGGCACACTTGTGCAATAACCATACTGTCTAATCAGCATCTTGATATGCCACACCTGTGAGGTGGATGGCTTAACAGTGCAAAGGAGAAGTGCTCACTAACACAGATATATACAAACTGGTGAACAACATTTGAGGACAAGTCCTGTTGTGTACACAGAAAAAATCTTAGACCAACCAATTCAGCTCTTGAAAGATGGGAGCAAAAACTAAATTATATATA